ATACCCAAATAATCATAAATTCACGTTTCGCCTACTCCAATATTTAAAAAAATTTTAATTCTCAATTTATCGCTATTAGCACTTGATCGAATCTTAAAAATAAGTTACTTTATTTTTGTTATTGTTTATCTTTATTTTGTTATTGTTTATCTTTATTTTGTTATTGTTAAGGATACAGAAGATTTTGTATTCATAAGTGTGCCTTCAATTAAAAATTTTTTTTTCAAATGTCAAAATTTAAAAGTTCTGTGGATATACCCATTTACGCGATGCTTTGCGTGATAATGCCGTTTAATTGAAAATAATTATTAATTATTTTCAATTCAAAACAATCAATCAACACAAATCAACACAATCCACGAAAACTATGGAAAATAATCAACAACAAAATTGGGAAGAAAACCAAAAAAACAATAACATAAATCATCTATTAATAGGTAATAATAAAATTACAAACTCAAACGACATTGCAGAACAAATGAATACATTTTTCAGTACAGTAGGCAAACAGATATGTGATAATATTAGACAACCAATAAATAGTAACATTACTCTACCATCTATGAACAACAACAGTATTTTTCTACATTTAACAAATAGAATAGAAGTTCAACAGACAATAAGGAAAATGGACAACAAAAACGGAGGATCTGACGGCATCAACACTCAGGTACTAAAGATGATAATAAACCATATAAGTGATCCGTTGACCTATATCTTTAATTTATGCTTACAAAAAGAAATATGGCCTGACAAATTAAAAAGTGCTGAAATTATTCCTATCCACAAAACTAAAGAGAGGTATCTACCAACAAACTATAGACCTATATCTTTAATATCAAATATCGCCAAAATTTTTGAAAAATTAATACAAATTAGGATTACAAGTTTTTTCAACAAACATAATTTATTTTCTAATAAACAATTTGGTTTTAGAAAAGGTCTTAGCACCAAAAATGCCCTATACTACCTAACTAACTCAATATACAATCAACTAGATAAAAGTAAATCAATAGCAGCAACTTTCTTGGATCTAGCGAAAGCTTTTGACACTGTGGACCACAAAATTCTACTTAAAAAACTCTATAGATATGGAATTAGAGGTAGTGCGTATGAACTTATCAAAAGCTATCTAAGTAATAGGAAACAAAGAGTTAAAATTAATGGTGAATATAGTCAATATCAACACGTCAACATTGGCGTACCACAAGGTACAATATTGGGATCTTTATTTTTCATAATCTACATTAATGATATGTTACAATTGCTACCAAATGATAATGTGTTGGCTTTTGCTGATGACACGGTAATTATCGTGAAAGGCGAAACATGGCATGAAGTCGAAAAAAATATGAACTTCTACTTAAACAAACTATCCATTTGGCTAGCATTGAATAAGCTGTCATTAAATATTGACAAACCAGTATACATGGCATTTGGAAATAACTGCAATAGCAACTCGACATATCTACATATAAATATAAAAGGTGCATCCATTCGAAAAGTTGATAACACTAAATACCTTGGAATGCATTTCGATAGCCATATGAGATGGGACATGCATACAAACATGCTATACAATAGACTAAAATATCTAACTTATATTTTCTACAAATTATCTAGGATAATGAGCACAGATAATCTACGTATGATTTACTATGCACTTTTCAATAGCATAACAACATACGGTATTATAGCATGGGGTGGAGCATACATTGGAAGACTCAAATATATACAAACTCTACAAACACGACTATTACAAATAATAAATAAAAACAAGTTTATAAATGAAAAAAATCCACTAAACATAGATCAAACATTCACCATGGAATCTCTAGTGTATCACTATGTCAACCTGCAAGATATGTTCCTAAAGAAAAATTCCGTAACAAGGAAAAAAACTATACAGCCCCTTAAAAGAAAATTAACAATCAGCATTAAAGATAGCTATACAAGAGCTTTAGCCACCTTCAATCAACTACCTTCTCACCTCAAAACTTTATATGGCAATACTAAAACAATAAAGGACAAAATAAAAAAATGGATAAAAGGCCATCCATTCTAGATACAGAAATACAATGAACCATAAAATACATTCCAACAATTTACAACAAATATATTACAAACTAAAGCAACAAGGGAACTTTGATAATAGTCTACATTCAGCATTGGAAGTCCATGTGGATGTGGATAGGGATAAGTTTCTCTTGGATGTAAGGACATATTTGTGTTCACAAGGCACTTGTACACTTCATTACAATCGTTCTCATCGTCGAATGTCTGAATATAACATGAAAAAAATTAATGTATCAGATAACTACAGAAAAATAATAGAAACAATTGCTAATGTGATTAACATAGCTTGGAACTCACAACGGATAACTATTAATACCAAAACAAAAAACGGACTCAAAGAGGGAAAAGGAAACGAAACTTACATTCAAACAAAAACAGATACAACCAACATAAATTTCATTAATAAATGTGTGTATTGCACATACAAACAATTAATTGGTAAAAAACATATACATTTCATAAAAGAAGAAAACAAAGAAGATCACAAAGAACCAAATACAGATAAAGTAAGATATAAACCCATAGAAACAGTATTTAAACAAATAGATGACATTGCAGACAATAATAGTATGCAAATAGAAACAAGTAAACCAAAAAATACACCAGGAAAACCGATTCTACAAACAAATAATATTCGAATGACCTATGGAGACATCACCCACAGAGCATGAATTAATTCACTGAATTAATTCTTGAATTAACGCAAAGAATTAATATAAAAATAATTTTCTAAGAAAAGAAAATTATTTCTTAATTAATACATGAAATATTACAAAGAAATATTCTAAAATTCTATTAAAAATAATTCAGGTAATGATTCCTGTAAAAATAAATAAATTAATACATGAATTAATTTAGAAAGGATTTTGAAAGGAACCATGAATTAATTTACAACATAAAACTAAAATTATATCTTGAAATAATTTAAAACTATTTCAAAATTATTTCATGATATGATTTTTGTAAAAATACATAAATTAAATCATTCATTAATGTTGAATTAATTCAAGAAATATTATAGGTTTTAATCTCGAAACTAACGCAACAAATGATTCTGAATTCATTTAAAATTAATTCTTAAATTATATGAAAATGCAAAATTTCGATTCACCCGAATTATTTCAGAAAATAATTCAAAATTATTTCTGGATTAATTCGTGATATGATTTTTGTACAAATATACACATTAATTCACGGATTAATGTTGAAGTAGTCCAAGAAAAATTATAGGTTTAAAGTTACAAATTAACGCAAGATATAATTATAAATTAATTATTTTGTTACGAGTGCATCTTTCGAATAGTTCTTATTTGAATATGTATCCGCTGCAACATTAATTTGTAATGTTGTTTGTTTATGTTTGTGATAGAAAACACAGAATAGTTAGTTAACACTTGGTTATCTGTTTGTAAACACTTTTTAAAATTAATAAAGTAAAGTCGAAGTCTTTAAGTTTAAACGTAACAATACATTAATTCTTGCATTATATTAAAATGGAAAATTTTGATTTACCTGAATTATTTCAGAAATTAATATAAAATTATTTCTGAATTAATTCGTGATATGATTTTTGTAAAAATACACTAATTAATTTACGAATTAACGTACCGATAATCAAAGAAATATTATAGGTTTTAATTTCGAAATTAACGGAAGGAATGATTCTGAATTAATTCTGAATTAATTTTTGAATTAAATGAAAATGCAAAATTTCGATTCACCCGAATTATTTCAGAAAATAATTCAAAATTATTTCTGAATTAATTCTTGATATGATTTTTGTAAAAATGCACTAATTAATTTCCAAATTAACGTACCAATAATCCAAGAAATATTATAGGTTTTAATCTCGTAAAAAAGCTTTTGTACGCATTACTGAGCATATGAAACGTTCATGAAAGCACCTACCTTATCGGCATTTACAGAATTTGAAATATTGCAGAATCAAAGTTAGATTAAAAATAAAAACGCTTTTTTAGGGTGTAGATATATGTCCAAGAATTACTCAGTTCAAATTTCACACAATTCTATCGAGTGGTTCTTTCAAAATTTGGTCAAGCAGCACCAAATCTTAATTTCTTCGAGGTGTTATCAGGGGCGTTTCATATTTCCTTAAGGGAATTTTAATTCAGGATTATTTAAACCCCTAGCATTGCGTTAAGCACTCCCATTTTTTATTATTATTCGTTAAAATTGAAAGAAATTCAATGTGAAAATTCGATAAGAAATCTGCTTTATGTAATATTTATAATGTATATCTAATATATATCCATATACTAGATAATATTAAAGTAAACATTAAATAAAATACTGTACGTTTATCAATTATTTTATTTCGTATTCTTCCATAATTATATAAAATAAAGCACTTTTAATAATTTTTAAAATTTTACTTATATATTCAGTTAATAATTTATTTATAGTATATCTAGTTGTGTTATATAATTTTAAATATTTTCTATAATAATTCTAAAAGTAATTAGATAGTATTTTATAAAATAATTTTTGTGAAATGGATATAATCTTTTAAAATTATTTCAGTGAATCAATTCTGTATTAATTTTACGCCAGCTTTTTATTACTTAAGTATCACTTTGAAAATTAATTTTGAAACAATTCAAAACATTCTTACTGTGATGATTTCACAATTATTATGATAATATTTCATAAAATAATTCTTCTAAAATGCATTGTAACGAGCCGGCTCGTTAAGGGAGTGTCTACACGGGATCCGTCCTCGGATCCGTGGACGGATCCGTCCCCGTCCAAATTTTTATAGGCACACGCCATCTTCATAACTTCAAGTTCAGTGGTGAGTTTCAAATTTGATGTGAGAAACGCATCTATACAGTTCTTATATCCGTGATTTACAGCTCCAATTTTATTCAACGTGTAACGTATAAGTTGGTGAGTTCGTCCTCTTTTTCATTATACTGTAATACCGTAAACCGTAATTATAATTAATTATTTATACTTTTTGCCTTATCAAATTGCAAAATACATAATAGGTAGACCAATAGAATTTATATGAACAAATACTATTTGATTTCGGGGAAGGTATATTGCAAGGTGTAGTCAAGTTTGCTGATTTTACAATTGAAAATAATTTTAGAAATACAGGCTAGAATGCAAAAGGCTGTAGATAATACAAAGCCTTCCTTAAGAATACAAAGATTTTATAGGGAAAAACAAGTGTGCGTTGAAAAAAATCATTTATAAAGACGAAAGATTTACAAATTATAACGTATGTTTATTTACAAAATTAGATTTGCATCTTCTATTAAATTTATTTTTGATGAAATTCTTGTAGATGATACATCAGGAAAATTACTTCCGAATAAATTGACTATACATAATTTGACTGATGATTGGCTAAAAGCTATTCAGGTGATTAGGAAAACTACCCACTTAAATGCAGAAAACAATTGTGATATAAAGTAATATTATTTTTATAACTATAAATTCATGATTTTTTATCAGATTGCAATAGCAAAGAATTTTTTTTTCTTTATTTGCAGTAAATCAATGTCGGATTGTTTTCAAGAAAGAGAAGAACTTTGATTGCGTTATCAAGTAGCTGTAATTAGAAATGCTATAAACGAACTTGGATGTAAAAAATTACCTTCTGGATATGACCTTTCAATGGAGGATTCATTTACTGAGCCAACAAAAACAAAGTAAATCAAATTAAAAATAAATTTTTTTCATTCACTATTAGTAATGCTACTGAACTATTATCTAATAATTACAATATTTATATCTTATATCTGATAATTTTTATTGTATTACAGATCAAAATTTACAAGAGGACAACACATTTCTAACATTTCTAATAGTTTCTTTGGCTTCAACCCATAAACTTCTGTCTGATAAACAAGCATAATGCCATTGCTGAATCAAATCGTCTAAAGTAATAAGAATAGACATCTGTGAAAATAACAAATTTCTTAACGATGCCCTTAGTGACCTCAGAGGAGCGTTGATTATGTTTAACTGAGCTGGCCACATACTGCGATATAAATCACATCGCGATAAACTCCATCGATTTGTAAATGTATTGTTGGTTATTGGGTTGTCGTCTTCTATTGTTCCAAGAAATCTGCACTTGTAACCTCCAATCACTGTCTTTTGTTGAATGATTTTCTGCAACACTTCTTTATGGCTAATCTCATTATCCAATGTAATTATACCTTCGCTTTCATTGGAAAACCAAAAAATGAATCTCGAATAATTATTATTGCCCATATGAATTTCAATATTTCTAAACGCCACTGGTACAAAACGACGAAAATCGTTTTGTATAATATATTCAATCGTGAATTTCATCTTCTCGTTCAATCTTTCTTCATGGAATGGTTTGGATTCCATTATATTTTTTATTACTACCGTATTATTCATTATTATAATAACTTTGATCACCAGTTGAAAATTTATTCTTACAGCGACTGTAACTGTAGAATTGTAGGAAATGTAGACGCAAAGAATACTAACGACATGCTTGAACAAAGAAAAACAGAAATGTATATGTACCAATCTTGGCCACATATGGGGCGAAAACTGACACGTATATAACGTAAGCGGTAAAATAGTGGATACGTGTTATATTTTCTAATTTTTATTGATCAGTTTTTATTTTAAAAAGTGAATAACAATTTTTTTATTGTAAAACTTATTTCAATTTCGAAATAAAAGAAATTATTTCTCTAGTACATTTGTATTTTGATGATTCAGAAATATTATTAAATCCTATTTTGATTAAATTCATGAATCTTCTAATTTCTTGATTCTCATTACTCGTGTTCTTATCAAGATTTGCAAGATCATTTACCAATTTTTTCATGGACTTCGTAGCTGTATCAATGGCATCGTCTAATGTTTCAATGTCATCATCTGATTTTCTTTTCCGACTAAATTTCCTCTTGTCGAATTTGTTTTCACCACTACTTGATGATAATTTCATCAAGGAGTCCATGTTATCAGAACAAATTTGAGGCATATGGCTTAAATACGGTTGTAACCAAAGCATTTCCTTGTACAATTCCCACGTAACTTCCACTTTCATATAAACAGGCAGCAGAACTGAAGCAATAATGTAACATGTTTCACGAATAATTTTGTAAAAAGTAGATTTTCCAACCCTATAATGTATAGAGTGAAGATGAGCGTTTCCTCCTTGTCCTAAGTGACTAAAATTAAATAAAATTTAACATTAATGTATATATATTTAATAAATAATGTTTAATACTTAAAATACTTACTGCAAAGTTAAAGCAAGTCGTAGATATGGTGCGATTGGCTCTCTTGTATGGTATTGCTTTTGTAATCTATTCCCAATAAGATCGCATAAAGCTTGGAAATTATCAACTGACATCTTGAAATGAATTTGGAATTCTTCATGATTGTTTAATTGAAAGTAATGACATATGACTGTATATGCTCCCACAGTATTTCTGATGCCGGGTAAAAGATGTGGTTTGACCCACCATCTTCTCAATTTCTTCTTTCTTTTGTTAATCAATTTTAAAATTTTTAAAGAAACAAGACAGAACTGTAATAAATTTAAAATCCTGATTGATCTTTCAATATCTTCGATTCTCATATTTATTATCTGTAATAATAAAAATAAGTATTACAAATTAATAGAGTACTAAGAGACATGGATGTGCCACGTTTATAATCAATTTTGATAATGACCTTTATAATACGCTTATTATATAAAAAAGATGGGTTATAATTATAACGTTTAATAAAATAAATTTAATTGTGATTATTTGTTATATTATGCATTCATGGCTTATTCTGAGTATTATGATATTGTTAGGGTTATAAACTTAATAACCACCACGAATGTAAAAACTACATAGATGTTTCTCACATTAAATTTGAAACTCACCACTGAACTTGAAATTATGAAGAATGCATGAGCCTATTCTGTTTTTTTATCAGATATAATCAGATTAAATTCTGTTTGTTTATCAGACAGAAGTTTATGGGTTGAAGCCAAAGAAACTATTAGAAATGTTAGAAATGTGTTGTCCTCTTGTAAATTTTGATCTGTAATACAATAAAAATTATCAGATATAAGATATAAATATTGTAATTATTAATTGCAGCAACCTAATCCTGATTTATATCATTATTAAATGCACATTGAGATTAATTATTCATTTAGTTTTCCTTAACATTAATTATTATGGATAATAGTTCAGTAGCATTACTAATAGTGAATGAAAAAAATTTATTTTTAATTTGATTTACTTTGTTTTTGTTGGCTCAGTAAATGAATCCTCCATTGAAAGGTCATATCCAGAAGGTAATTTTTTACATCCAAGTTCGTTTATAGCATTTCTAATTACAGCTACTTGATAACGCAATCAAAGTTCTTCTCTTTCTTGAAAACAATCCGACATTGATTTACTGCAAATAAAGAAAAAAAAATTCTTTGCTATTGCAATCTGATAAAAAATAATGAATTTATAGTTATAAAAATAATATTACTTTATATCACAATTGTTTTCTGCATTTAAGTGGGTAGTTTTCCAAATCACCTGAATAGCTTTTAGCCAATCATCAGTCAAATTATGTATAGTCAATTTATTCGGAAGTAATTTTCCTGATGTATCATCTACAAGAATTTCATCAAAAATAAATTTAATAGAAGATGCAAATCTAATTTTGTAAATAAACATACGTTATAATTTGTAAATCTTTCGTCTTTATAAATGATTTTTTTCAACGCACACTTGTTTTTCCCTATAAAATCTTTGTATTCTTAAGGAAGGCTTTGTATTATCTACAGCCTTTTGCATTCTAGCCTGTATTTCTAAAATTATTTTCAATTGTAAAATCAGCAAACTTGACTACACCTTGCAATATACCTTCCCCGAAATCAAATAGTATTTGTTCATATAAATTCTATTGGTCTACCTATTATGTATTTTGCAATTTGATAAGGCAAAAAGTATAAATAATTAATTATAATTACGGTTTACGGTATTACAGTATAATGAAAAAGAGGACGAACTCACCAACTTATACGTTACACGTTGAATAAAATTGGAGCTGTAAATCACGGATATAAGAACTGTATAGATGCGTTTCTCACATCAAATTTGAAACTCACCACTGAACTTGAAGTTATGAAGATGGCGTGTGCCTATAAAAATTTGGACGGGGACGGATCCGTCCACGGTCTGTTTATACCTCTCTCTCTCTCTCTCTCTCGCGGTAAAACCTAGCGTGTCGTCGTTGCGCGACGCAGCGACGCATCACTGAGTAAAGCTCTCGGCCTCTTTCTCTACGGGATGTAAGCAAACCGCTAGACGAATAAAAGGTGTCTGCAATTAATCGGCCGCCTTGTTTACTGACGTGGGCAGAAGCACACGTATCTCCTCTGCCCAGCTATCCGAACCCACCGACTCCCCCGCGCAAGCAGTACGTCGAGCACGCATCCGACGAAGCCGTCGGCACCACAGCCGGGAGGTAAGTCTTCCTCCAACGAAGCGGCGGTTAGCTTCGCAACGTGGGAGTGACGGTGACTTATTTTGTTAACGAGCACCGATTTATTATTTAGGTAAATCATAACCGTTACAGCATGTAATATTTGGAAATTATTTCAGTGAATCAATTCTATATTAATTTTATGTCCGCTTTTTATTTCTTCAATATCATTTTGAAAATTAATTTTGAAACAATTCAAAACATTCTTATTGTAATGATTTCAAAATTATTACGATAATATTTCATAAAATAATTTTTCTAAAATGCATGTAATATTTGAAAATTATTTCAGTGAATCAATTCTGTATTAATTTTATGTCCGCTGTTTATTTCTTCAATATAATTTTAAACATTAATTTTTAAACAATTCAAAATATTCTAACTGTAATAATTTCAAAACTATTACGTTAATATTTCATAAAATAATTCTTCTAAAATGCATGTAATATTTGAAAATTATTTTAGTCAATTAATGTAGTAATAATATTCGTTATATTTCTGAAGGAAAAAAAAACGGACATAAAATTAATACAGAATTAATTCATTGAATTAATTCTAAAATAATTATATTATTTCATGAATTAATTTTGAATTATTTTAGAATTAATTCATGCTGTGTGGGCAATTATCTTGGAAACAATAAAGCATTATTATACTTTTATAGAGGTATCAGAGGATATCAAACTTTCACTAATTCATTGTACTCACTTGAACAACAACCTAAATATAAAGATTTGATAGTCTTAGATGACATAGTATTCACAGCAACATGTAAATGTGATTAACATAGACAACATACTGAAATGTTCCTTCACTATAGAGTCACGTGTGCTACAGGACTTGTCCTGTTAGACTAAATACATACGAAAGAATATCATATGCAAGAAAAATGAAAGCATCAATGACGACAATCGTAACGGCCAGACAAATGTTAATCAGATATTGGAGATAGCAGAACAAAATCGAAGATAATTGGTGAAGTAAGCTTTTATAGGAAGCATTCTTGCTACCAATATTAAGCCATACTTCATCTGTAAAATATTATAATCTATTACAAACCGACTCTTAGCTTTAAGTTTTTTGTTTTTTTTTTGTTTTTTTGTTTTTTTCTTAATTTTCTTTGTTTTTTTTTATTTTTTTTCTTAATTTTCTTTAAGTGTTTAGTAGTTTTAAAATACCAGACCAGCGAACAGGTTTATTCTCTGCCGGGTTACAAATTTGTAATTGTAAAATTGTATAATTATTACTACTTGTTGTAATATTTTGTACTATACTCTGGTTAATAATAATAATAATAATAATAATAATAATAATAATAATAATAATAATAAAACACGAATAAAAGAGTGGTATAAACGGTTCAAAGATGGTCGCACTTCTGTCGATAGTGACTCTCGTTCCGGCCGACCTTCGACAACAAGAACCGCAGATAATATTGAGTGGGTGCGACTTGCAATTGAACAAAATCGTCGTATGACTGTGTGAGAACTACAAGAAGACCTTGGGATACCAAAAACTATCGTTTCAGAAATTTTAACCGAAAATTAAGGAATGAAATTACGTATGTGCGAAATTCATCCCAAAATTGCTCACAGCAGAGCAGAAGAACATTCGCTTAGAAATCGCTCTGGACAATCTGGAAGTGGTCAATAATGATGATAATATGCTTAGAAAAGTTATTACAGGTGATGACTCATGGGTTTATGGTTATGATCCTGAAACAAAACAACAATCTTCACAGTGGAAGCATTCTGAATCGCCAAGACCAAAAAAAGCATGTCAAAGTCGCAGCAATGTTAAATCAATGTTGATTGTTTTTTTCGATTGTGAAGGTGTTGTACATCACAAATATGCACCAACAGGTCAGACAATCAATAAAGAATACTACGTTCAAATTTTAAAACGTTTGCGTGATGCAGTAAGAAGAAAACGGCCGCACTTTTGGGAAAGTGGTGACTGGCTTCTCCATCACGATAATGCTCCAGCGCATTCATCCAATCTTGTGCAACAGTTTTTGAGCAAACACAATATCGCATTGCTTCGACAACCTTTATACAGTCCCGATATAGTCCCTTGTGACTTTTGACTGTTTCCAAAACTAAAAAAACCACTCAAAGGACACCAATTCGATGACAAAACAACGGTTGAAAACAATGCGACGAATGTACTTAAGGCTATCCTTAAAAGTGAGTTCCAGAACTGTTTTGAAAAGTGGAAACATCGATGGAACTATGTTATTCAATCAAGTGGGGATTACTTTGAAGGATGTCATCCACCAGATGATAAAGAATAACGCTAGCACGAAAATATAAAGGTAGGCCCGATACTTTCCGGACAGACCTCGTAGATGACATACTGTTGAAGTCAAGACGAGAAATTTGGAAATCCAGGATGGATTTTTACATGGATTTCCATCTACCTAGAACTTTCTCTATTGAAGTAAAGTAAGTTTCAGAACCTTCAGTTTTGGACGCGAATAACACGTTTATCCGATTTTCAATTTTTGATATTTCCTAAAAGCAGATTGTCGGCAAAGTCCTTTATAATATCGAATACAATTATTAGTTCAAGAAATAGCTGTTTTCCAATACTGTTTTTGCACTTTTAAGTTAGGATATCTTAGAAATAAGAGCCAATTGAAAAATTTTAACCTCGAATTCGGATTCAGCCTATAAATAAC